GCACGTGTACAGAAGAGCTTCGCGTGTACAGAGGAGCTTCACGTGTACAGAGGAGCTTCACACGTACAGAGGAGCTTCACGTGTACAGAGGAGCTTCACGTGTACAGAGGAGCTTCACACGTACAGAGGAGCTTCACACGTACAGAGGAGCTTCACACGTACAGAGGAGCTTCACACGTACAGAGGAGCTTCACACGTACAGAGGAGCTTCATACGTACAGAGGAGCTTCACACGTACAGAGGAGCTTCATACGTACAGAGGAGCTTCACACGTACAGAGGAGCTTCATACGTACAGAGGAGCTTCACACGTACAGAGGAGCTTCATACGTACAGAGGAGCTTCACACGTACAGAGGAGCTTCATACGTACAGAGGAGCTTCACACGTACAGAGGAGCTTCATACGTACAGAGGAGCTTCACACGTACAGAGGAGCTTCATACGTACAGAGGAGCTTCACACGTACAGAGGAGCTTCATACGTACAGAGGAGCTTCACACGTACAGAGGAGCTTCATACGTACAGAGGAGCTTCACACGTACAGAGGAGCTTCATACGTACAGAGGAGCTTCACACGTACAGAGGAGCTTCATACGTACAGAGGAGCTTCACACGTACAGAGGAGCTTCATACGTACAGAGGAGCTTCACACGTACAGAGGAGCTTCATACGTACAGAGGAGCTTCACACGTACAGAGGAGCTTCATACGTACAGAGGAGCTTCACACGTACAGAGGAGCTTCATACGTACAGAGGAGCTTCACACGTACAGAGGAGCTTCATACGTACAGAGGAGCTTCACACGTACAGAGGAGCTTCATACGTACAGAGGAGCTTCACACGTACAGAGGAGCTTCATACGTACAGAGGAGCTTCACACGTACAGAGGAGCTTCATACGTACAGAGGAGCTTCACACGTACAGAGGAGCTTCATACGTACAGAGGAGCTTCACACGTACAGAGGAGCTTCATACGTACAGAGGAGCTTCACACGTACAGAGGAGCTTCATACGTACAGAGGAGCTTCACACGTACAGAGGAGCTTCATACGTACAGAGGAGCTTCACACGTACAGAGGAGCTTCATACGTACAGAGGAGCTTCACACGTACAGAGGAGCTTCATACGTACAGAGGAGCTTCACACGTACAGAGGAGCTTCATACGTACAGAGGAGCTTCACACGTACAGAGGAGCTTCATACGTACAGAGGAGCTTCACACGTACAGAGGAGCTTCATACGTACAGAGGAGCTTCACACGTACAGAGGAGCTTCATACGTACAGAGGAGCTTCACACGTACAGAGGAGCTTCATACGTACAGAGGAGCTTCACACGTACAGAGGAGCTTCATACGTACAGAGGAGCTTCACACGTACAGAGGAGCTTCATACGTACAGAGGAGCTTCACACGTACAGAGGAGCTTCATACGTACAGAGGAGCTTCACACGTACAGAGGAGCTTCATACGTACAGAGGAGCTTCACACGTACAGAGGAGCTTCATACGTACAGAGGAGCTTCACACGTACAGAGGAGCTTCATACGTACAGAGGAGCTTCACACGTACAGAGGAGCTTCACACGTACAGAGGAGCTTCACACGTACAGAGGAGCTTCACACGTACAGAGGAGCTTCACACGTACAGAGGAGCTGGCACTGAAGAAGACGCAGAAGTGCGGAAATGATTTGGGGAATTCAGGCGCCGAATTTTCTTACTTAATGTGGGTTGTCACTGGTTTAGTTATAGCAAGACCAGCCTTTGTCTAACTTTACTGTGAAGGACTAGGAAGAAGGCGCTTTAAGCTTTGTAGTCACTTTGTCCTTCTTCACATTTACTAAATTCAACAGTTTAGCATTATAACAGCGCACTGTGTGCATGGGCCACATTTTTCTTATCCCTTCATCTGTTGATGGGCGTCTAGTCGACTCAGTTTCCTGGCTGTTGTGAATAGATCAACAATGAACATGTATGCACAAGAGTCTTTGTAGCACCTCAGAAGTGTGCTGCATATATGCTCAGTCTGGCCTTATGCAGTTCTGTTTCTAGGTTTTTGATAAATCTCCATACTAATTTCCAATGTGTCTGAAATAGTTTTCACCCCATCTCGTTACACCCATGCCAACATTTCTGGTTATTTGTGTTGCCAGTTCACTTTGAGATAAAACTTTTCCTTTTCAGGGACACAGGATGTTCTAGATGGAGGTGAAACATTCCATCCTGCAGGAAAGCTTGTTAAGTTCAGGAAGGAAAACAACTCAATAGATTCATGAAGCCCCTGAGGTTGACCAGACTCACCACTCTGGACCCCCAAGCACGTATAAGTAATAAGGACTGATGGGGCCAGTCAAAAGCACGGAAAAAGAAGTGACCAGCTGAGCCACTGCTGGGAGGAGGCTCAGACCAGCTAGGATTCCTGGAGAAGATACTCTCCAAACTGTTGAGCTGCCTGCAAGGTGCTAGTGTGCTCCATGTTTCCAGGTCTTGTGAGCTTTCACCCCTGCTGGTGTGGGCTTTGGTGGTGCAGCTGTCTTTGAGACATTTCTAGAAGAGGGCATTGGTGAAGGTAGAGCCTCAGTTTCAGTGGAGGCCCCAGCTTTCTGGCGATGCCAGGACCATGGGACGCCCACCAAGGGCAGCAGCAGGTGTGGAATGGAGGTGGCCTGGGATTGTGAGACGAGATGTGTGTGCTTTCAATGGTAGAGTCAGAGAAGCAGAACTGCCAAAACCCTTTGGAGTCCAGAAGACTGTGAGTGAATCCCAGCTACTTTGTGGGACTTAGGTTTTGCTTAGGTGTGTCCAAGTCTTCCCTTTGAAATGAGACAGTAGTTGTTTGCATTTTACAGGAGTCCACAGTTAAGAGACTTTTAAAGAAACTGTGAATTTTTAAGTGTTTGGATTTTTTTTGAAGGACTGTGGGGATTTCAAATTACACTGTCTTATGTTGTGATACCAAAGTTCACATCATATCTTGGGGACAAGAAATTGAAAGATTGTGGCTTAATAGTGATGTGTTTTGTGTGTCAAGTTGAGAAGGGGTCAATTGTGTTGGATAGCTTTAGTGTCAACTTGACACACCTGGGTAGAGGGAGCCTCAATTGGGGAATTTCCACCACTGACCTGCCATGTGGCCACATCTGTGGGGCATCTTCTTGATTGTTGAGTGATGTGGGAGGGCCCAGCCCACTGTGGGTGGTGCCACCCCTGGGCAGGTCATTCTGTGTTGTATAAGGAAGCAGGCTGAGCAGGAGCTGAGACAAGCCAGTAAGCAGTGTTCCTCCATGGCCTGTGCTCCAGCTCCTGCCTCCATATTCCTGCCCTGAGTTCCTACCTTGGGCTCTATAAGTGATCAGCTGTGACCCAGGAGATGTAAGCTAAATAAACCCTTTCCTCCCCAAGTTGGTATTGGTCAGTGTTTTGCCACAGCAGTGGAAAAGTCACTAGAACAACCTATGAGGCTGGGAAGCTGGCTCTATGGGTAGTATTTGATGAACAAGAAGAACCTGATTTCATATCTTAATACCCAGGTTGAAACACACATGTGGCAGTATACTAGTAATCTAGCTCTTAATAGGGAGAATGATCTTGGGGGTCACTGCATACCTAGTCTCAGTGAGAAAACTTCTCTCAAAAGATATAGAGTGATAGAAACACCAGATATCAACATGTGCACAAATATACATACACATGCATGTAAAAACCCAAAATGATAAATATTCAACACAATTGAAAACAGAACTATAAAAATATTCTGAAAACTTCAAACATTAGTACACACCACAGCTATAGAGAGGCTCTCTGGGAAATCTGTGCTGTGATGAGGAGACACAGCCCAGACACAGAGGTGTCCTTTATGCCTCTGTACCTCTGCTGTGCTGTGACCCAGAGCTAGGTATGTTCCAGTGCCCCCTGCTGGTCCTGAGTGCCCTGCAGGGAGTTTGTGTCTGAGCTCACAGGAACTTTCCCTCACTGTGTCTCTTACACAGTAATACAGGGCGGTGTCCTCAGATCTCAGACTGCTCATGTCCAGGAACAGGGTGTTCTTGGCATTGTCTCTGGAGACGGTGAATCGGCCCTTCACGGAGTTGGCGTAGTGTGTGGTACCACCACTACTACTTATGTATGAGACCCACTCCAGCCCCTTCCCTGGAGCCTGGCGGACCCAGTGCATCCAGTAGTTACTGAAGGTGAATCCAGAGGCCACACAGGAGAGTCTCAGGGATCCCCCAGGCTGCACCAAGCCTCCCCCAGACTCCAGCAGCTTCTCCTCACACTGGACACCTGCAAACACAGAGAATCCTGGTCAGGAACCTGTCACACATGTTCACTATCCCTCTCAATCTGTCCACTCACAGGATCAGCATCTCCTCTTCTCTGTAAATTACCTTTTAAAAGCACAACAAGGAAAAGCCAGCTCAGCCCCAGCTCCATGGTGAGTCTGTTCAGTGCTGGTCACTGAATGGGAACACAGGGAATGCAGGGCTGGGCTCCTCTGCTGAGCTGTAGGGTCAGGGCTGGGCTGGTTTTCATGAGCACAGGGAGACTTATTTGCATGCCCTCCTGCTATATAGCAAGGTCTTGGGTTCGAACTCTGGGAGAAGACAGTTCTCAGGGCAGATTGAGACCTCAGAGATGGTGATGACACATAGAATTTTAGAGAGTATGGCAGCACAGTGTGCACATTTTGCTTTTGAAGAATTTAGCACACAATATTGGAGAGATGGCTCCCGATTAAAGAGCCCTCACTACTTTGCAGACAACTAGAAATTGATTCCTAACATCTAAATCAAGTGTCTCACAACTGCACATAAATACAGCTCCAGGTGACTTTGAATTCTCTGTTCTCCACAGGCATCTACACTGCCTGCATATACCCAAACAGACATAAGGCATAACGAAATTTTTAACAAAATGACTGACCATTTGCGTCACTGCTGTCCACGCACGTAGACCATGCCCTCTGTACTGCTGTTCTGTCCTTGTAAAAATTTGAAGTTAGAAACTCTGACAACCAGTTGTGTTTCTGGAGAGGAGCTCAGGTCATCCTGTGCCTACCCACTGCCTGGGCCTGTGGGCCTCAGTACAGCTTCTCTCTGATGCATATTACGGACAGACTCAGGCGGGCCTGGTGAGGGTCACAGAATCCCTCACTGTGATGGGGACACCTGTATCTTTGTTTCGAGTCCTCATGAGATGGCATTTTCTTGTACTTATCTATTACCTTTCATGTTTTCCCATGAGGACATATTTTTTATGTGTGTCAATTCCTCGTGTCACATCCTGATGTGGCACTTTTGGTTTCTGTGTGATTCGTGGACCAGCTCTTCTATTCATCCTTCTCACCAGGCAACTCCTGACTTTCTCTATGTTGTCTCAGTTAATTTTGTTTGCCCAGATTTATGTAAGTATCATACTCAGGGCTTTTAAATTAATTACAGGTGCCCTACACAGCCAAGGGCTTCACCCTGGCATTTCCCTGCTGCTCTCCTGCTTCTCTCCTTCTTCCACCTCAACTCCAGTTAACGTCACACCACCACATTAGCCTGCCTTTGCTCTTGCCCCTCACTTAGATGTGTCTTCTCCTCTCATGGTCTCCATTCTGGTTCCAACACTGAGACAAAAACGAAAGCCCCACATAAAGACACAGTCGGCATAGGAGACAAATACGCAGTATTTTCCATATCAGTCTTGATTACGTGGCTCTGCATAAAGATTTCATGTTGAATTCACATTCCTGTAAAGTCAGCAAGGTCTCCGGTAAATAGTTACATTCTCTGAGGTCTAAGAAGAACAAGAAGACCAAAGCAGTATTGTGAGAGAAGGAATAATAAGCAGGGAAAAAAATCAATGGAAGAGAAATAGAAAAATAAAAAGAACAGTGAATCAGAGTCGGCTGTTGGACCAAGAGAAACAAAATTCACAAGCCCCTCGCTGGACTGATCAAGAGAAAGGTACGGTGGAAGCTAATAAACTGGACATAAAATGGATACCACAAGAGGTACCAGTGGAAATCACATGACGATTAGAGCATACCTTCAAGAACATGTATTCTACGCTGTTGGAAAATGAGAAAGAGCAGCTGACTTTCTAGGCATGCGAGAGGTCTCAAATCAAATCAGTAGATAGAAGCAGCTTATAGAGATGTTGCTGAGCAATGACATTCGAACAGCAATGAAAATTCTCTCAATTATAAAGTTCATGATCCAGATGTGCTCAATGCTGAATTCTATGAGACTTTAAAGAAAGAATTAAAACCAGTGCACTTTAAACTTCTCCATAAATAAAATGTTAGGAACACTGCCAAACGCTTATAAAACAAGTAGTAAAGTGGTACCAAAATCACATAAGATATTTCCACTAAGACCGAAATGAGACACGTTTATCCACTTTCTTCACTATTACTCAATCTAGTGCTTTACAGCTTAGCTACAGCAAGATGGAAAGAAATAGGAGGGCTAAAAATAAGAAAAGAGCATGAATATCACTATTTTCAGACAACACGATCTTAAACTTCGATAGACTCTATAGCCTATAACAGAAAACTCTTAGAACTGGCAATGTTTTCAGCAAATACCTGGATGTAAAACAGCATACAATTATCAGTAGCCATCCTGAATGCCATTGATGGACATGGGGCCATTCAAATCTGGAAAACATTCCATCCACTAAAGCTTCACAATGTTCCCATAAATATCCTAACCAAGAAAAAGCCTCTGTAATGTAAATGTGTAGAGTGGGTGAAGTAAATTATAGAAAAACATAAAAGATCAAAGTCCTTCCATGCCCTATAGCAATGAAACACTACGGAGCCACGGGAACAGCAGCACGGTGCCGGCACACATCCAGACGCGTGGCTCAATAGAAAAGACCCAGAAATACACTCAACTACAGGGGCCTACATTTGACAAAGATGACAACTTACTTTGTAGAAGAGACCACCCGCTTAAGCTGTACTGGGGAAGGTAGATAACCACATGGAGAAACTGAAACTGTAATCTCATCTCTCGACATGCAGAAAATAGATGTCAAGTGGATCCATGTTACTTTAATATAAGACCTGAAAATCTGAAACAGAGGAAAATCTAGTGAATGCATTTCAAGATATACACACAGGGAAGAACTTTCCTGAACAATTTCTAATAGCTCAAGAAATAATACTAAGAATTTAAAAGGCGACTGTATTACATTAAAAAGCTTCTCTACAGCAAAGAAACTAATTAACTTAACAAAAAGGCAATCTATAGAATGGGTGAAATGTTTTGCTATTATACATCTGACAATGGATTAATATCTAGAATTCACAAAGAACATAAAAAACTAAATACAAAAAAATCGAACATGGTGTTAGTCGCTATGTGGTGCTGGGACTTGTGTGGTGCTGGGACTTGAACCCGGGTCCTCTGCAAGAGCCACTGAAACGAAGATAAAGTTGAAAAACTCAATAGGTCAATTTGAAATGACAGGAGAAAGCTTCACAAGCAGAATGAATGAAGTAAAAAACAGAATATCAAGTCTGGACAACAAAGTTGATGAATTAGACTCTGCAAGCAAAGACTATGGAAAAAACCCCACAGGAATGGAATGTGCCAGAAATGTGAGACACCATGAAAAGACCAAATCTACACATCATAGGCATACAGGAAGAAGAATCTCAGGACAAAGGTTTGACCAGATCTTCCACAGGATTATAGAGGTAAACGTTACCAAATTAAGGAAAGACAGACCCGTGCAGGTACAAGAAGCCTATAGAATGCCTATTAGGTCTAGAAGAGAAACGCCCCACATATCACAGTAAAAACACTAAACGTACAGAGCAAAGAGAGAATACTGAAAGCTGCTAGAGAAAAACAAGTTACATATGAAGGGAAACCCATCAGAATTACAGCTGATCTTTCAGTGCAATCTATGAAAACCAGAAGCTCCTGGCCCAAACCATTCCTAAGTGGCCGTGAATGCCAGCCCAGAATACTTTATGCAGAAAAATTTCTGCCATAGTCGAAGGGAATGGAAAATTTCCATGGCATGAAGAGGCTGAAAGAATTCTTATCCAGCAAACCAGCCCTGCAGAGTACACTCAGAGAAGTATGACGGACAGATGTAGCAGTGACTACACCTGGGAGGTTACAGAGAGAAAACAAAGGAAGGTATAATTACAGAAACACAAAACAGGACCAAGAACATGAACAACTTAAAATGACAGTAATCAATAACAACCCTAAATATCAATAACCTCAACATCCCAGTCAGACCACACAGCAGTGGAATGGATTAATAAGAAAAATCCATCTTTTTGTTATCTTAAAGAAACTCATCTCACTTTCAAGGATAGGCACTATATTAAGATGAAAGGACGGAAAAATATTGTAAAGAAATTGCACTAAGAAGCAAGCTGTAGTTGTAGTTTTAATATCTGACAAAATAGACTTCAAATGAAAACTAAGCAGACAAGACAAAGAGGGTCACTTCTAATGAAAGGGACAAATGGCCAAGAAGATATTACAATCCTGGACACATATGCACCAGACTCTGGTACACCCAGTTTCATAAAAAACAGTATTACAGGACTATAAACCACAAAAACTGCTAGAAATGACCAATACTTTCAGTAAAGTGTCAAGTTACAAAGTCAACTTATAAAATTTGGTAGCCATTGTACATACCAATAACAAGCAATCAGAAAAAGCATCCATGGAAATCTTCCCATTCACAATAGCCTCAAAAATTATCTAGGAATAAACCTAACTAAAGACATTAAAAGATTTCTACAGTGAAAAGTTTAAATGCTTAAAGAAAGAGAGGAAGACACCAGGATATAGAAGGACCTACTATGCCCATGGATTGATGGGTTTGTAGCATTAATATTGTGAAAATGATGATCTTAACAAAAGCAATATATAGGTTAAATGAAATGCCAATAAAATCCACTTGACATTTTTCATAGAGTAGAAAAAAAATCTTGAAATTCGTATTGAATCACAAAAGACCCCAGATAGTCAGAGCAGTCTTGTACAAGAAGAGCAGTGCTGGGCAGATCATGATGCCAGATCTCAAGCTATATCATAAAGCGATAGTTATAAAAACAGCATGGTACCAGTGTGAAAATAGACACACAGATGAATGGAACAAAAGTGAGTGCATAAAATTTCAGCCATCTGAGATTTGACAGAGGTTTCAGGAACACACAATTGAGTAAACACAGTATCCTCAACAAAAGGTGTTGGCAAAACTGGATCTCCACATGTAGAAGAATGAAATTCAACATTTATCTTTCAGCCTGCACAAGAGTCAGCTCCAAATGGATCAAAGATCTCAATATTAAACCTGAAACTCTGAAACTGCTAGAAAAAGACACAGGCAGTGTAGTGTACTCACTACAAGATATAGGTGTAGGAAAGGAAGTTTTAAATCAAATATCTGTTGCTCAGGCATTAAGGTCAACAATCAACAAGTGGGACCTCATTAAATGAAAAACACTCTGTACAGTAAAAGGAGGGGAAGAGGAAGCCCACTGGATTGGAGAAAGTCTTCACCTGCTACCCATCCAAAAGCAACACCCAGAACATGCAAAGAACTCAAAAGACAAAGAAACAAGAAAATAAACGACCTAATAATTGGACTGAGGAGCTGAACAGAGTTCTCAGATGAAGAAATGAAAATGGCTAAAAACACCTTAAAATGTGCAAATCAAAAACTACTTATGATTTCATCTTACATATGAGCATATATTGGGGGAGTGAACAGTGGATTTGGGAATGAGGACCTCTGAAATAAGAGGGCCTGTAGGGCCATGGGGACTGAGGCTGGATGGCGTAGCAGACCTTGGTGCACGCATGTGGGGCTGGGGTGCAGGCCACCTTCCATGTGGACCTTCACGTTCTTTCTCTTGTCTTCTTTCTTTCATCTGTTGTGAAAGCAGATGGTGTCCTACGGTCAAAGAGAAGCGATATTTCCTGGGGAGAGTGACACTGTCCTCAGTGGGTCTGGGATAGCCTGACGTGGTTTGTGGAACTGACGTGGGAGGCTGAGCCAGCAGGATGGTGGGAAGTGTTCCAACCCCCAACCCCATGTGGAGGAGTGCAGAAACTGAGCATCTTACTCCATTTTTCTGTTACTTCAACATAGTGCCCAAGACTAGGTAATATTAAAGGAATTTAAAACTTTTCTTCATTGCCTGGACACAGGAAGCGAAAAGATACTTTGATACTTACTGTTACCTAAGTAACATCCTGGGCGGGCCTTCTGCCTGGTGGAAAAGCTGGCCAGAACTTCCCGTGGTGGGACAGGACAGTGTTTTACACCAACTCTCTTCTCCTTATGAAAACACTGGTTCCTTGATTGTTCACCACTGTCAGAATATCCTCCAACCTAATCACCCTCAGAAGTCCCTTCTAAAATAACATTAGTGTATAAAGTGGTGACTGTGTTCCAACATGTGTGCTCCTCAGGACACACAGACACCACGGCAAAAGGTTGTGAGACAAAGGTGTGCTGAGACCATAACGCTACGTCCCAGTCGTTCTGGCCACTGTCTACCTTGACATTGGACAGCGTAGTCTTAGTCTGCTGGCTGAAACTCTATTCAGTCTGATGTTTTTCAGACCATGTAGAATCTTCTGGGTCAACTGGGGAAGAGGTGACCTCAGAGAGTCCATATTGGAGCACCTTCCTCAGCAGAACCCCATGCTTCTCCCCTTGGTTGGGCATTCCCAGGTGTGTACAGACAGGAAAGATCAAGAAATTACTCAGTAGTCTATCACCCGCAGATCCAGTACTGGCTGCCCTCTGTCCCAGACAGGCCACCAAGGACAACTATGCACTACCATTGAATCCTATGACCCAGCACCATGTTGATGCTTCCCCTGTCCACAAATAGGACATTGTGAAAAGTGAACCTTAACGGCCTTAGATGAGCACTGGGAAGTAGAACTGTGGCACACTTGTGCATACACATACCCTGGGACTCCTGTTGGCTAAGACTGAGCTCAGGATGTACAGAGTTCAAGACGAGGGCACAGGTCTGTGATGAGCACCTGTGCCTTGACACAGCTCAGCCAGATGACCGGCTCCTTCGGAGACTCTGACATTTAACGTCTTTCCGCCTCTTCTCCTTCAGTCAGCGTCTCCTCCCTCCTCTTTGCGACCAAGGGATGTATACTTTCATTAGAACTGGCCAGCAGTTTAACACATGTCTGGAGTTTGATTTCCAGAGGACCCCCTTAACAAATATTTCAGAATATAACAGCCAAGATCTGTTGGAAAACACGAGGCACATGTCTAAATTGTCATTCTCAGACACCAGCTGTGACCCGGATGTTCCTCTGGTAAGCCATGGTCCCACCTCCTTCCCAAGCTCTGAGGAAGGAGTCAAGCCCATTAAGGGTTGGAGCGGAGGCCATGTTGGATCTAGGGAGTGAAGTGTGCTGCCTGCGGGGAAGCCGAATGGAATGGCAGGGCGAGACGACATGCACAGATGCCTCGCTCGTCTCCGGGCTCTGCAGGATGAGATGAGGCACTCAGACCATGGGGTGAGATGGTGCCCACGGCGCTTGGCACATACAAGCTGATGGACACTACGGGTGGGGCTTGAAAGCCGTGTGGGTTATGAGAAGCCGTTTCTTCGTAAGTCACACCCTCCTGGAAGTCTGAAACTGTGCAAAACCCAAATGGAAATGTGTTAGGTCGGTTTTGTTAACCAGCGTCAGGACCGGGACACTTGGTGACTGAGGACCATTCTCCCAGGGAGAAGGAAGGGGGAAATTTAGTGAAACACCGGCCTAGCTGGACCAGCCTCCTGTTACAAACTGCTTATACACTAGAGCCCCATGCTAGTCTAGAGTGGCTGTGAAGGTGCTGTGTGCATGGTGTTAAGGTCTCAGCTCCAAGTAAGGAAGATTGTCCTCGCTTACCTGGATGACCTGGGTGGAATTGTTTTCTAGAAGCTGCCTCAGGTCCATCGTGAGTCTTCCTGATGCTCTGCTTAATGGTAGTATCCATGTACACCTCCCCCACTCCTGTCCTACCCTAGAGCTTCCAGGACACCAGGGTTTCACACCCTCAGCTCTGCCATAGTCACAGATGAAGAAACTCCCTAACAATGAGCAGACAACATCAGTTCCCAGTGGGCATCACAGTTTGATCTAACATTCACGAATCCCTGACTGGACATATAGGTGCGTTTCCAGTGAGTGCACATCCCAGCAGTGACTGAGGTGGATTTGCTACCCTTTCCTTGGGCCCTGCAGGAGCCACCTCCTGAGGACACTTGAGCTTCCGATCAAGGACTGCTGACTCAGATTTTACCACAGGGACCGCACACCTTGCTTGTTGGGCTAATAAGAGGTCTGGGAAGGTCCCTGGAGGGAAGAACAGGGATCAGCAGGGCAAAAGAAAATTACTTAGGGCCACTTAATACAGTGGTATTGCATGAACAAAAACCTGACAAATAAATAGGAAAGAAAGCAAAGACAAGACAGTTTACCGTTTAGTACATTATGAGCCATCTGCTGCTAACCGATGCTCAGCTGTTCTCAGTAGCTGCATTGTATTCAAGAACTCACCGCCACATCATATGAGCAGATCATTATCCTCCCACACAGGAAGAGCATGATACCTGTGTCAGTGCCCGGTCTAACATGTATGCTCGTTTGAGGAGGATGGCAAGAGTGAAGGTCATTACTTTTCATAGGCCTCTGGCTATCCCTGAATTTCCCGTTTGCCCAACTGAATCCCAAACACTGCTCTAACTGTGGGAAACCACCAAGGCTCTGCCCTGAGTCTAGTGGAGAACACTCCAGGGTTCCGAGTACCCTCAGCATCTAATCCTTGTGCCCAGGTCTGAGTCAATGAATCATTTCTTCACCGTTTAATGATGCTCTGTAGATTATTCAGGTCAGAGTGAATCCTGTATTTAATAGTAGCTATAATGATAGTGGGAAGATGGCTCTTTGTGCACTGACTGTCCCTGCTGTACAAGAAATACTTGAATTCCTGTCTCCAGTACCCAGGGAAATACCTGGGTGTGGAAGCCCACAAGTAACCTCAGCTTTGGGAGGTGTAGACAATATTGTCCAGACGTTCACTGAAGAACAAGCCTAGCCAGTTGATGAGTTTCAGTATTAGAGAGAAATTGTCTTGAAAATAAGCTGTGGAGTGGAATAGGGACATAGCAGATGTTAGCATGTGCAAAAATCTACACCCACATGGACATAAAAGCCCCCCTATAATAAATACACAAACACTTCAGGATGGAAAACAGAACTTACACGGGTATTCCGGCACACAAAAAATTGCTACACAGCATATCTGTAGAGAGAATCTTCGGGAAGTCTGTGCTGTGATGAGGACACACAGCCCAGACACAGGAGACCAGCACTTTATGCCCCTGCACCTGCTGTGCTGTGATTCAGAGCTCTGTGTGTCCTCAGCGCCCCCTGCTGGTCCTGAGCACGGGGCAGGGCGGTTTGTGTCTGAGCTCACAGGAACTTTCCCTCACTGTGTCTCTTGTACAGTAATACAGGGCGGTGTCCTCAGATCTCAGACTGCTCATGTCCAGGTACAGGGTGTTCTTGGCATTGTCTCTGGAGACGGTGAATCGGCCCTTCACGGAGTTGGCGTAGTGTGTGGTACCACCACTACCACTTATGTATGAGACCCACTCCAGCCCCTTCCCTGGGGCCTGGCGGACCCAGTGCATCCAGTAGTCACTGAAGGTGAATCCAGAGGCCACACAGGAGAGTCTCAGGGATCCCCCAGGCAGCACCAAGCCTCCTCCAGACTCCACCAGCTGCACCTCACACTGGACACCTGCAAACACAGAGAAGCCTGGTCAGAAAACTGTCACATGTGGTCACTGTCCCTCTCATCCATGTCTATTCACACACTCAGCATCTCTAGTTTTCCATAAACTACCTTGTAAAAGCGTGAAAAGGAAAAGCCAGCTCAGCCCCAGCTCCATGGTGAGTCTGTTCAGTGCTGGTCACTGAAGGGAACGGCTGGGAATGCAGGGCTGGGCTCCTCTGCTGAGCTGCAGGGTCAGGGCTGGGCTGGTTTTCATGAGCAGGGGGAGGCCTATTTGCATGCCTTTCTGCTATATAGCATGGTCTGGGGTTGGAACTCTTGGAGAAGACAGTGCTCAGAGAAGATTGGGTCCTCAGAGATGCTGATGACATTTCTAGATTTTTTTCGACAGCATGGTAGCTCAGTATGCACATAGTTCTTGTTAAGAATTTACCACACAGTATTAGAGAGATGACTCAGCATTTAAGACCACTTACTACCTTTGCAGAGAACTGATCTTTGGTACCCAGCACCAAAACCTGGTGTCTTACAACTGTAGGTAAATACAGCCCAGGTGACTCTGAAGTCTCTGTTCTCCTCAGACACCTTCAATCACCTGAATATACCCAAATAGACACAAGGCGTACACATAATTAGAAATAAAAATAAAATTTAAAAATGAAATGGCTCACATGCCTCATTTATTTCACTTACGTGTATAGACCATGACCTCTGTGTACTACTGTTCTGTCCTTTGTTAGAATGTGAATCTAAAAACTGGCAATCAGTTGCGTTTCTGTAGAGGAGCTCAGGTCATCCTGCGTCTACGCACTGCCTGGGCCTGTGGGCCTCAGTTCAGCTTCCCTCTGATGCATATTATGGACAGATTCAGACAGGTTTGGTGAGGTTCTCAGAACCCCTCACTGTGATGGGGATACTTGTATCTTTGCTGAATTTTAGCCAATTCTGAAACAGAGCTGTTTTGAGTTCATATGAGCAAGTTCCCAGAAGCCTAGGAGACTCTGTTTCCTTTTGATCATTAACCAATCCTGGCTCTTACAATCTTTCCACCTTCTCTTCGGAAAGGGTCCCTGAGCCATGGGTATGTGAAGTTTAATACAGGAGCCCTATCCAGGGTGTGCACTCTGCAGTCTCTGATTCTCTCCATGTTGGCCAATTGTTGCATTCTGTGTTCACCTTTCACTGTTGAAGGAAGCTTCACCAGCCAGAGTTGAGAGATACTTAGAATTCCTTCTACTCCTTGTTCTGCTATGTTCCATGAGCCTTGGGTGTAAAGGCTCCATTATAGATGTGTCACTTAGGACTGGGTATCTCAGGGGCATTTATTCTCTGTGTGTGACCAGTTGTGGAACATTGCAGTAGTCTCTGTCTGTTAGAAAAAGAAGCTTCTTTGATGAGTGTGACTGGTATATGTGTCTGTATCCATATTCAGCATTTAGGGATGTGACAGAGGAAGGGTTTTCTCTAGGCTCTATGGCCCCTCCAGTCATGTGTATTTGGCTGTGTTTGCAGTACCACACATGAGTTCTTCCCAATAAGTGTGCTTTAAGTCCAATTAGATAGCTCTTGATTACCCCCGACATAAAATTGCCTCTACTGCACCAATATAGTGTGGTGTTCTGGTCGTTGTTTTGGTTATTAGGTTTTAAAGCTGGGGTTGCACCCCTGGTCAGTTTTCTTTCTTGGCAGCTTGTATAGTATTCTTTAAAAGTATGAGAGCTAGTCTTCAAGGAGGAGGCTCACAGATCAGTTCCAGCTCCATTGCTCTGAGACCTGTGTCTGAAGTATGTCTTATCTTCAGAAATAGGGTCTTCCCTTCAAGTTCTGGGAGGTAATCAGTGCTATGGCAGTAGCCTGTGTTATTTTGGGAATATCTTGGACTACCCTGACCAACAACTCACAGGGAGCTTTCTCCTTCCTGGCACTGTTTCTTGTTATATAGATTTCAGCTATATACATGCACTTATGTACAGGTATTATATGTGCTTTTTTTTCAATAGGCATTTGAACCAATATATTTCCTTCTGATTTTTCATGCCACCTAAGCATTATTTATCTGTCCTTTCTCTATTCCTATCTAAACTTCTCTCCTTCCTCCCCAATTAAAGTACACACGTTTTCCATTTCCCCCTTGGTAATTCCTGTCTCCTATCATCCCCAACCCCTGACCCCTCACTCCCATGGTTCCATGTCTGCCCTTCCCTCCTCCCTTCCCAGTTAAATGCCCTCACCCCCCGTCACGTCTGTCTACTGCTCCCCCTTCTTTTGGGCTATTTGTTTCTCTTTATCTCCCTGGCTCTGGTGGTTACATCAGGATATATAAGGATTATAAGGATTTGGTGTGTAGATCCACAAATGAGGGAGGGAGTTATAACAACTCACTTGTTCTGAGCCTGTGTCACTTCACTTAGTATAGCAATTTCTAGTTCCATCCATTTACCTGCACACTTCATTTCTTCTTTCTTTACCACTGAGTAGAACTCTGTTGTGTAAATTGTCCCATGTTTCCCTTATTCGTTTACCAGTCAAGGGACATTTTGGCAGTCTCCATTTCTCAGGTAGTGTGAAAAGACGCAGCAAACACGGATGTACATGTGTCTCTGCAGTTACGTTGGTTCTTCAGGTATATGCCAAGGGGTGGTGTAACCTGATCATATGATAGATTATTTTTTAGTTTTTTTTAGAGCTACAAACTTCCCTCTTCAGACTGCTTTTAGAATGTCCCAGAGGTTTTGCTGGTCTGTATTATACTTCCATTTAGTTCCAGAAATACCTTTATTTCCTTTTAATCTCTTCTTTGGTCCATTCGTCATTCAGGAATGTGTTGTTTAATCTCCATGAGTTCTTGTACTAACCTAAACTCATTTTGCTGATGATTTTAAGCTTTATTGGGTCGTGATTTGATATATGCATAGATGTATTTCAAATTTGGTATTTGTTGAGGTTTGTTTTGTGCCCCAGTATGTGGTAGATTTTAGAGAAACTTCTATGGGCTGCTGAATAAAAAGTGTATTCTTTGATAATTGGGTGGTATATTTGGAAGATGGGTTTTAGGTACATTTGATGTATAATGTCATATAATTCATATGTCTCTCTGTTTATTCTTCATCCAGTTGACCTGTCTATTTGAGATAGTGGGGTATTGAAGCCACCAACTATTACAGAGTTTGGATTAATCTGTGTCTTAGAGTCCTGTAGCACTCTTTAAAAATGAAATTTGTTGCACTGGAGTTTGGTGCATATATGCTCATTATTGTGACATCTTCCTGGGCAATCATGTTTCCTTTGATCAGCATGAAGTCACCTTCCTCATGCCTTTTGGTTTATTTTAATTTGAAGTTTATTTTGTCAGATATCAGAATTGCAGCACACACTTGTTTCTTAATGCCATTTCCTTGCAATATTGTTTTTTTTCATTTCACCCTATGGCAGTGTTCATCATTGAAATGTTGTATGGTGGGCATTCTTGGCCCATGTGGCCCACTCTTCTCTGCTCTATTCTCTCACCTCCCCTCCTGTTACCCCCTTTGTTCCCCTAGAAAATTTCTCTTCTACATTAAATGTATATAAGCAGGACTTTAATGTGTGTGTGATGGTCTCAATGAGAATGTCCCCCGTAGGCTTCAAGTATTGGAACACTTGATCCGCATTTGGTGGTGCTTTTTGGGGAGGGTCATGGAACCTATGAGGGGTATGGTCATCTTGGAGGAAGCATGTCATGCTTGAAGATGTGAGCACCCCTTTTTGTATCTAGAAAATTTCTCTTCTACATTAAATGTATATAAGCAGGACTTTAATGTGTATGTGATGGTCTCAATGAGAATGTCCCCTGTAAGCTTCAAGTATTGGAGCACTTGATCCGCATTTGGTGGTGCTTTTTGGGGAGGGCCATGGAACCTATGAGGGGTATGGCCATCTTGGAGGAAGCATGTCACACTTGAAGATGTGAGCACCCCTTTTTGTACTCCGTCTACCTCTTGCCATGCCTTCCTACCATGATGGACTCTTATCCCTCTGGAACTGTAAGCCCAATAAACTCTTCTATTTAAAAAATGCTGCACAGCATATCTGTAAAGAGAATCTCTGGGAAATGTGGGCTCTGATGCGGAGACGTGCCTCAGACAGAGAGGAGTTCAGCTCTTTATGTATTCGAACCTGCTGTGCTATGACCCGAAGCTCTGTGCATTCTCAGCACCCCCTGTTGGTTTTAAGCACCCTGCAGGAAGTTTGTGTCTGAGCTCACAGTAAAATTCCCTTGCTGTGTCTCTTGTACAGAAATACATGGCTGTGTCCTCCGGTCTCAGACTGCTCGTGTCTAGGTACAAGGTGTTCTTGGCATTGTCTCTGGAGATGGTGAATCAGACCTTCACCCAGTTGGCATAGTGTGTGCTGCTACTACCACTAATGATTGAGATCCACTCCAGTTCCTTCATTGGAGCCTGGCGGACCCAGTTCATGGCATAGTCACCAAAGGTGGATCCAGAGGCTGCACAGGAGAGTCTCAGGGGACCACCAGGCTCCACCAGGCCTCCCCCAGGCTCCACCAGCTGCACCTCACATGTGCAAACGCAGAGACTCCTGGTCAGGAAAACGTCACACGTCCACTGTCCCTCTCAACCAAGTCTACTTACACACTCAACTTCTTTTGTTCTCCATAAATTACCTTTTAAAAGACCAACAAGGAAAACCCAGCTTAGCCCCAACTTCATGGTGAGTCTGTGTTCAGTGCTGATCACCTAGGAATGCAGGGCTGGGTTTCTGGGCCAGAGCTTTAAGGTCAGGCAGGGCTGGACTGGTTTTCATGAGCGTAGGGAGGATTTATTTGCATGTCTTCCTGCTATATAGCAAGATCTGGGGTTGAAACCCTGGGAGAAGGCAGGGCTCAGAGGACATATTTGACCTCAGAGACACTGATGACACTTTCGGATTTTGAGACGATATGTCAGCTCAGTACGCATCTTTTGATTTTAGAAATTTACCACATAAATTTGATTATTAGAATTTTACCACACAGAGCTGCAGGGCTTGTTCGGCAGTTAAGACAAGTCAAGGACTTTGTAGAAAAGTGGAGTTTGTTTCTAGCATCCACACCAGGTGTTTCAAACTACCAGGGAATCCACTGCAGAAGAATCTGATGTTTTAGCCTCCGGCGCCACGTGCACTCACCTGCATGTCCCAGCAAAGACACTCAGGCACACACATCATTAAAAATAATACCTCCTTAAAAAGAAAGGACTCACCACGCTTCGTTTAGTTTTCTGGTGTCCGTGTGCACAGAACACGCACCCCTGTACCCCTGCTCTCCCCTATGTAGGAGCAAAAAGAGAAAGGAACTTCTGCTGGTGGTTTTCTTTCTGTAGAGGAGCTCAGGTCTTCCCGTGTCCCCCCATTATCTGGACTTGTGTTCTTCAGGACTGCGCACAGCTTCTCTCTCATGCAGCTCATGGACAGGCACGCATGCACACCTGTATTCACACACATCACACACATAATAATCACAAATAAAATTTTAAAATAAATAAAAATATGACTTCTCTCATTTCATTCTCAGAGACACGGAACAGTCATCTCCATATTAGTTTTAAAATTATTTTGAATATGTCTGACATATGCTATTATTACCAGCTTCTAATTGTCTAAATCATACAACACTGACCCATGAGAGACTTCTATAAGAAGTAGGTTTCTGTTCATCTCTTTTTATATTTTATTTATTATTTTTTATTTTGTGTGTATGAGCATATTGCCTGAATGTATGTAACTCCACACATGTCACGCAATGCCCACAGAGGTCAGAAGAGGGCATTGAAATCCCCTGGAACTGGAGTTATGGACAGTTGTTAGCTGCTGTGTGTATGTGCTGAGACTCGAACCCAAGTTCTCTGCAAGAGCAGCCAGTGCTCTTAACTGTTGAGCCATCTCTACAGCCTCCACACAATCCGAGTTTAATGCTCCATTTCCCAGACAATTGCGCACCTACTATGTGGTCGTCCACAGTGGCGTTTCAGTTTCCCATCTTGCCCTCTGTATGTTGTGCCTGGATTTAAACCCACTGTAGGTTCTCATTTTTGGAAAATTCATTATGGAGACCACAATACTGCAATAAAATTCATAACATCCCACAATGACCCTGTGAATCAGATTGTAGCTGCGTCAGTGTCCACGAAGCACAGCTAGAAACATCCCTGCAAAGTTCTAAGCTCAACTGTGCTCTCAGTTGCAGGCATCATGTTTCCATTGTGTGTTTGCACATGAGAAGGTCCCAGAGGGGTCAGTGTGGAGACACTCTGTGCTAAGGGAAGGGGAGGAACTCAAGATTGCGTGTGGCAACGTGTTGTCAACATCCAAACTGGCAGACTTAATCATAAGCAACAGGTTAAGGACGAGGCTCTCACTGCTGAGTTTCAGCTAAATCACTGTGGACACAACGGATTAGGATTTCTGTGTTTCTTCTCAGGTGTTCAGGATGCATTGGGGGTCGTGTTGGATCCATTATGATGCTTTCTGAAGAAATAGATTCAAGTTGAATGGCCACCACACATGGTCTGGGGAGCTTAGAGGCCTGGGCCCATGTCCAGCCCAGGGCAGACACTTGCCAAGGGTGATGTGAGTAGATGGGTGCCACCCCATTTTTCAGTGTTCAGGCGTAACTATCAGGCTAGTCTCTTTGACATACCTATGTCTTCAGGCAGGGGCTGAATCTGTGGTTTGTGGATGGGTCTTCTTCGTCTGGTCCCTTCCATGCCTGCAGTGATTTGAATGAGAATGTCTCCCAGAGGCTCCACGTGCTTGAATGCTTGCCCTAAGTCGGTGAGCTGTGTGTGGAGGGTTACG